GGCGATGAAGCTAGATGGAAATCTGAGCTAAGAGCCAGTCAGCCAACTTGCCCTGTCTCCTTTCCATTATCAGGTTGGCCCATAAACCACTCTGCTCTGAGAAGCTGGACCAGTGGCTCTGCGAGTAGTTGTGAACGTCTGCTGACCTTGCTGTCTCTGCCCTCTCTATGTTCCTGGAACTCCTCTTCCCCAGTGCTACCTCAGTTCCCATCTTTCTATTCCCTTGAAGCTAACTTGTCTCTGAAATCTGGGCCCTGTAGTGACACCATTGGACATTTGAGGACTATTCTCCAGGGGTGTGTGACTGGTGCACTGGACTTTTGACCGTTGCTCAGTGTCCCTGATGACACTTTCATTACAACAATGGATTCCACCTCTGTCCTGAATAAAGGGCCTGATTTTGAGAAGCTGGCTGTATTTTATTTCTGGAGGGAGAGGGAGGAAATAGAATGAGGAGGTGGACACTGAAGCCATAGGTCATAGCCACCTTCCATCTCTATTGACGAGGAAATAGGCCAAACTTATAACAGAAAGTTGGATTTGCTTTCTGTACCAACTCAATTCAACAAACTTTTATGGATCACCTAGGATATTCAAAGAACTATAGAAGGGATCCAAAGTTGGCTAACGGGGTTTCTTCCCTCAGGGACTGGTAAGAGAGATGAGATAAATATTAATGAATAATTATAATACAAGGAATAGTATCATAAGCATCATGAGAGAGGTTAAAAATGTGCTCTGAGCATTTATAAGAGGAAAGATAATTCATATTTGGGGGTGTATGTGGGAAAAAAGGATCAAGGAAGGATTCATGAAAGGAGTGGCATTTAAGTTGGGTTTGAAGTATGGGTGGGATTTTGACACGTGGAGATGTGGAGTCGGAATAGGACAGCAAGGGCGCGGGCTCCTAGAATCTGAAATGGGTGACTTGAGGGGGTTAGGGATTCTTTTTAACCTTTGAGATAAGGAAATGCTTTTCACAAAAAGATATGAGAGGAACTCTCTCTGAAAATCAGAAATAAGAACAGGGGGCCCTTATAGTCAGGTCAGCAATAAAATAATCTGGTTTGGACCCTACGCTCCATTACTCCTCCTGGCTGAGATTTGAGTCCTAATGTCTGTTTCTGCTACTCACTGATGGTCTGGACCTGGGCAGGTCATCTCCATCCTGTGTACCTCAGTTTCCTCTTCTTAAAATGAGAGTTTTGATCGAGGTGTTTTTTTCTGAGCCCTCTCCTGCTGTAACAATCCAGCATTCCAAAACTCTAATTTACCACATTTCTAAATTAGCTGAGTGATCTTCTAATTCCTGCCTTCTTCTTCCTGCCTTCCTAAGGTGTCTAACTCAGCGAATTAGACTCTTCCTACCTCCCACTGGGGCTTTAGGCAATCAGGCCTTACTTCTTTTGTCTCAGAGACCAGCAGCTCCCACAGGAGGCCTCCATGGCTTGTTTAGGGACCTAGAGGACCAGGCAAGGAATGGAGACGCCATCCCTCCTCTATACTTACTTAAAACAAACCCTCAGAGAAATAACTTGATACTGATCATATGATTTTAGTGTGAATTTAAATACAATGTGATACATCTTCCAGGGATAGTACATTCTATTTCTTTCCTAATTATGGGACACAAGGCCTTTCCCCAAGTCTACAGGGTTTTAGGAGTAACCCCTGCGTATGAGTTGTGGGGGAGGCCAGGGTTGGATGTCCATTCTCCCCACTGAGCTTGACACATCTACTTCTTACTTATTAGCCCATCTCAGTTACGCCCTCATGAAGCCATGTGCTCTGGAATATATAAGGGACCAGCTCCATCATGTGGCCAGAGCAGGAAGGCCACTCCAGCTGCGGCGATTTTGCTCAGCCTCATAGCCCCGGCCTTCTTCCTACAGAGATCAGGAAACTTCACCAATGGGTGTACCATAAACAAGACCACAATCTTCAGNAATAAAGGCTAATCTAGACCTGCTCTAACAAAGTTTGAAAAAAGGCTTGAAAAGATTAAACTGAGACTCAAGTATCTTGTTTACCATTACAAAGCCAAAACTCCTTAAAGGAAGACAACAAAATTCAGACACTCAACAACAGAACAACCATAATATCCGGCATCCAATAAAACAGTTAGTAGAAATGCAAAGAAATAGAGAAATGTGTCCACTAGGCAGAGAAAAATGAGGCAATAAAGGACATCAGCAAGATGGCAGAATAAGAAACCCCAGAAACTCCTTCCCCCGTGGAGACAAGATTTACAATAATACACGCACCAACTGCCTTTGTGAGAAATCCAGAAACCAGTGAAGAGATTCCTGGATTGGGGTCGTCCTGTTAGATTTTGGGATTTCAGGTTCTTTCTTCTGCTTCAGCCACTAACTGGCTGCCCTCTTCACCACTCAATAAGATGACAAATCTGAAACAATGTAAACAGGAAAAGTCCTGTGCTTTACTTCATTAAGATTTGGCAAGACCCAATGGGACAGCAGACCCTGCTACTCGCAGGTTCAGTGAGTGGGTGAAATATCCCACTTCAACTCTCCTGCTGGTGACTCCATGAGACTAACCTGCAGTTTCTTCCATACTAGATGGAGACAGCTGCCCTGAGCCTGAGAACAGTGGCACAAACCTGCTCTCCAAATATTTACAGCCCCCATTTCTTATATCAGAGGAAGAATGGTGGATATTTGTAGGGATAAATCATTTGCAGTTTTGTGAAAGTGAGCACCTCAGATTTGCAAGCTTATGTTGTTTAGGTGTATTCCTGAAAATGGGTACAAACAGTCTAAAATTTTGAGGTCAGCAGACCTCAAACATGGATAAACAGAAAATAAATATTTATATTTTTGGCCTAAAAGAGATGAAGGCTATTTTGTATATATATTTTTTTATTGGTTTAAGGTTGTTCAAGCATGAAGCCAACCCCACTGAAGCCCAGCAGGAGAATTTTTGGCATTCACTCACCAGAGACCTTGCCCTCCACATGGAGTGGCATGACGTGATTGGGAGGAAGCCCTCAACTCCTGACTTCTTCCTTGGGAAGGAAAGGAGTGGAACGTATACCCTATGTTCTGGCTTTTTGGGGTGCTACCAAGGCACTGGTTTCTATCTTGCCTGAATCTCAGTACTGACAGGAATGGGATGTCAGTTTGGGGTGCTTTTCAGAACAAAGGCAATCAATGTGGCTAGGTCTAGCACCAGAGTCTGCAGTACCACAGACAGACACTAGGTGGAACTCCAGTACCACAACTTTGTACAGCACCACAGAGGCTGAAGCAATTGCAGATAGACACAAGGTGATCTTGAATAGAAACTGGCAAACCTCTTTAATAGGAGATTACATGTGCAAACCCAGAGAAAATGCATCCCCAGAAATGGCTTGAGAGAAATGGCCAACAAGTTGAAGAAATTATTCAGAACTAGTACCCTCAACTCTACTGGCTCAGGGGCACTGATCTTAAAGCTCAGATCCAGAATCTTGTTTTAAAGGTTCCATGTATGTCCCAGTCTAATCTTAAGGTGCTTAAAGTTCAGTGTTTCCATTGGCTTGGTTCACTCTGTTTTTAACCTACAGAGGCCAACTCTGAGGGTGTCTACAAGTTTCTCTACCCATGAACAAATCTATTACAAATTATTAGTCTTGAATTTATATAATGTCTTAATTAATGGCATTGTAGAATCAAGCTACTTCGTGGTAGTGGTGGTTGGGGGTAGGAGCCTGATAATGGTTTCTAGGATAGCTAGATACACACCTTTCAATTTCTACGTTTTCCTGAAGTAGGGAGAATCTGGATCCAAGTTATATCTGATTCTCAAAGTCTGTGTTGCCATATTCTATCCCTATTCCTGAGCCCTCATCTGTGAGTCACCATATCAAGGGACTCTTCCTGGGCTTTGTACCATGCCTGGGTTGACTGGACAAATGCCAGTTCGATGCTGGGACCATGGCATGTAATGACATACACTCCTTTTACATACTCTGTATGTCTCTAAGGGGAAAGGAGAGTTGGCAACAGGCTTTTATTGTATATTCTGATTGCCTCACTCATATCACCCCTGAGGCCTCCTTTGTTCCTCAAGTAGGCTGGGGACATCCTGATTCCTAGAACTAACCCCACAAAAGACAAAGGTATAAACAAAGCCAAATGGGAAACAGGATCATGCTTGGAACTCTCTTTGGGAAGAGAACAAACAATACCTGGTATGGACTAGAGATTAGCAGAGGGGAAGAAAAAGTGAGGTGAAATTATGGAAGGAAGTTGGCAGGCTCAGTGTTTCTGTGTGGCACAATCAAGCTCTCAATATCCTCTTCCTGGATGTAGGGCTTGGTGCCAGAGCCCCTGAGGCTTTATCCATGAATAAAAGGAGGTGAAGCTGACTGGTACCCCCATTTCAGATTCTTGGGGGCAGCCAAAATGATGTCCTTCGTCTCTCTGCTCCTGGTGGGCATTCTGTTCCCTGTTATCCAGGCCAAGCAATTTACAAAATGTGAGCTGTCCCAGGTGCTGAAAGACATGGATGGCTATGGAGGCATCACATTACCTGAATGTGAGTTTTCTGCTGCCTTGCTTTGTCCCATTCTTCATCTTGTCTCTCCTTTACCCTGATTTTCCTCCCCCTTTTGTTCCCACTTTCATTCAATTATCTCATAATCCTCTTATCTTCTCTGCCTACCTGTTTACTCTTTTAATGCACTTATTCTTCTGTCTATTCTTTCTCCCATTGTCTGATCCTTTTTGGAACTCTTCATCTCATCAGGATACTCTGTTCTTTGCCATATTTGGAGATTTGCTGTAGAGCTGTTTTCTCTCTGGGAATACAGGTCCTCATTAATGCTATGCCTGGATATCCCTGTGATAGCTTTCTCATCTTTCCCTCAGGGATCTGTACCATATTTCATAACAGTGGTTATGACACACAAACCGTAGTCAATAACAATGGCAAGACAGAATATGGACTCTTCCAGATCAATAATAGACTTTGGTGCAGGGACAATCAGATGCGTCAGTCAAGGAACATCTGTGACATCTCCTGTGATAGTGAGTAGCCTTTTACCCTGCTTCTCTGTTTTTCTGGGACCTACCCCTGGGATAATATCTTTTTTTTTTTAAGATTTTTATTGGGGAATTGGGGGGATGGGAACAGTGCTGGGGAATTGGGGGAAGGGGAACAGACAAGTTGCTGTAGTTTTGTTCTTCAGTCTAGTTGTGGAGGACGTTGCTTCACTGGCCCAAGTTGGCACCATCATTG